GTTAGTGTTTTGTTGGTTTTGGTTCTTTGCTTTTTTTTTTGTTTTTGTTTTTTGTTTTGTTGTGTGTTAGTTGTTGTTGAGAGGATACACAAGACGTGTGTTACTCCCACTTCAAGTTACTTTTTTCGCAGTGTCGAATCGCACACTGCATTTTGTAAAAGTTCCATCTGCAGGCTTTCTTCGGCTTTGGTAATATCAAAGTTGAATGGTGCTGAGAATATTGGAAATGGGTGTTCCCAAGATGCGAAATCATGTATTCACTTTTGAAATTCTCCTGACAACCATTTCAAGTGACTGATATAGTTAGTCGGAATAAGTACAGACTCAATAAAGGCCAAGTCTTTCAGCTCTTCGCAAGTTGGAAAAAGAATCAAACTTCAATTGGACCACCATGACTTTCTCAAAGTCAATGTTGTCATGCAACACCTGATGTTATCATATAACTGAGCGATGAGTTTGACTCCACCTTGCAACTTCAAATAAAGGACAGTTGAATGAGCAGGAATGTTCACTACAGAAACCAGATCCGTAAGCAATGCTTCATTTTTGGATTATCTAGGTCGTGACCATCATCTCCAAAAACACCATTATTTATTGTACCAATAAGTAAACCTTTTTAACACTGCTTGACATGGCAATCACCGAACTTCTGTGTAATATTGAACATCGGTACACTGCGCATCCATATCTTTTAGCAAGTGACGGTGGTTGAAAACACGGCTTTTGACAGAGCTCAGTCTTTGTGACCATACGAAGTACAGGATCCAATTTTAAAATGTTTACACGCAAACCGCGTTGAAGAATACTCTACTGAAAATGTGCGTATGATGAATCTGGGTACGTTCTTTTCAATTTTTTGGACATAACATGGCGGCAATACCATTATCTCTAGGAAACATATTCTCAGCAGCGTCGTTAAATAAGTATGCAAGTTTGCTTAAACCCAAACCACAGTCACCCAGAAGTGGCTTGACCGTCTACGAGACGTCCCGACTTGTTGCAGTGTCGTGTATGGGCATCAGTTAGAAATATGTTAATGTTTAATTTCACTCTCCCACACACTAATGAAAGCCGCCAAATGGGCTATTCTAGTCATGTCAATGGTCGCATCAAGTGCAACAAAAAATGTTCAAATCTGAATGTTATGCTCTTTAGCTGTTGCTTTGAATTACTTGACATTTCATCAAGCCGTTTAGCAGTAGCATTACTGTTTGATAAAATATTTTCGAATAAGTGTGCTTTCTCTGGTCACTCAGTTTCAACCATGTTTACAAACTATTGCATCACGAAGTGTTCTTCACTCATGGCGATCATCCGGCTGAATGCATAACTTACCGCAAAGGAAACCAGTGCCCTTTCTCAGATTTTGTGAAACAGGTTTCTTGCGGCTTCACATTACCCATCAATTCACTGATTGCTGAGACATACATTGCGTTTTCCTATTTATCATAAGTTTATTAGTTCCGTTAATAATGTATCTTCAAGTTGCACTGATTTGGCTTTGCAAGGTTGCTGTCGTCGCAAATTGCACAACGTATCTTTCCATTTGCCTCTGTAAAAATATTGTAATTCCCTTTTTTCTTGAAACAATCATCCTCTTTGTTCACTGTCCTCCTCCTCATCTGGAATAGTACTGGTCAGCAAAAAGTTTCTGTGAAATCTGAACAGTGTTCAAGATTGCTGGTGGATTTTGTGAGAAGTGTAATGTTCCTAGAAAGTAGAAGTCACGATTGAACTTCATGCAATAATCTACCTCGACAGGGAATCGAACCCCCTGTCCCACGAATTACCGGTCCGCTGCTCTACCAGTGAGCTACCAAGGGCTGACGATCAGGTACGCAATTTAACACATGACCTGCTTGGTGCGCGACGTATTGTGACTTCTACTTTCTAGGAACATTATACCTCTCACAAAAATCCACAAGTAATCTACCATCGCCCTTTGGACATCAGAAGGACAGATACTTCGGTCCATTGGGAAGTGACGAGTGAGTGAGCCAATCTGCAACACCACGACAGATATTGTGAGCTCGTTGGCAATACGCCGCGCAACAAGCAGAACTCATGTATTAAATTGCGCACCTAATCGTCAGCCCTCGGTAGCTCAGTGGTAGAGCAGCGGACCGGAAATTCATGGGACAGGGGTTCGGTTCCCCGTCGAGGCAGATTATTGTGTGCAGTTTAATCGTGACTTCTACTTTCTACGAGTGTTCAATATATTGTAAGGAAACTATTTCATTCCACTCAAAATAATCAACAACCTTTTGTACAAAAGAACAAAGGTGATTTTGGTTGGTGAACAGTTAGTCAGCTACACTATGTCGCGCAGGCAATCACTTCATATCGACCCTTGCGGGCGCCACCGACAATCAATGAAATCCCAGAACGATAAGCATGATCACGTCATGCTTACTGCGTTGATGTGGACGCTGAAGATCCATGCAGATATATGCTGTGTTTTTGCAATTTTTTGAAAAGTGAACAGCCATGTCAAGCATAAAACTAGCAGTAGTAAGAGAAGTATGCGGTATTGTATGAATGATACACCATTATCCAGTTAAAAAGTAAAGCTGCAATTTGTCCAGACCGCTTACCTGCTTGCAAAGGGTGAGGTGTTTTACATGCCCGGTCTAGAAATCGATTCCCTGACTTTGTACGAATTCATTATCAATTACACAGTGCTAAGGAAAGCGTCGTTAGTTCTGAGAATGGTGCACATACATGCACATTGCCTTCTCTTTGTCCAATCACTTGACTGCTTCTCATGAAATGACATTTATGACGTGGGTAAGAAACGAGCGAATTCGGAATATTACATACAGTGAAAATTTTAACTGTGTAGCTTGTCATCAAGACATCACAAGAAACATTTTAATCAAGAGTTTGCTTACAGTGTTCATTGGTTGGCGGCATCCGGTTTCGGATTTGCCTGTCACTGTTGACAGTCAATGAACAATGAACAATGATTTACCACGGGATAAAAGCAAGTGCTTGTCACGTCCCGTAGGATGGTTGCGGTGAATATGATGCAATTAAAATATGTCTGGGTCATCTACCGAACGTCTGTCGAGATGAATACCTTGATAATTAACATCAGTGTAAACTGAAAATAATATCGCGCGTAAACGTTCAGAAAGACACTGGGGTGCAGCAATAGTTGAGGTAAGGAGTGAGAAAAGTAAAACATGGTCGCTCACTTAGGTCCATTTGATACATAAATCCTGTTGAAAACATGCTTGGCGTAATCCACAATAGAGGAGTTTAGGTAACAAAATGCTGGCAGCTAAGAGCACCATCTAATCGTTTTTTGAAAACGTCCAAGATAGGCGATGATAAAACTGAGTCTTGGAGTGCCTTCCAGGGTTGGCAAACCCGAAGGGAAAAGAAATTTTGTCGACATTCTAGACGGCTATATTGTTCCTTTAATTTTAAGCAGTTACCCCTGAGCTGCGTGTTGTGGCTAAGTTTCAGCAAATGGCGGCATACGTGGTTGGGGTCATTCAGTATCTGATATGCTAATATGAGATCGCCACGCAGCTTTCGATAGCGTCCGCTGAAAATTCACAGCAATTTCAGCCTTCGGTTGTAAGAGTGATAGCGCAGGTCCTTTACATTCTTTGTTGCTCTTCGTTGTGGTGCCTCTATCGCTTCTAGGTCGCGCTTCAACCAAGGTTGCCAAGCATGGGTAGCGTATTCAACATACGTGCGTACGTAGGAATTGCGCATCATTGGGATGGTTGATGGGTCAAATCTCCCGAATGCTCTTCGCAGCATGCCGACATGCTGGTTGCTTTTTTTTGCAGCTACCTCAGCCTGTTTTGAATAGTTGAGATCGCTCTGTACGAGCACACCAAGGTCACGTTCCTGGGAGCTACTCTGCAATCCGTTTGTCCCAAGTAAATAGGTGTAGTTATGTCTATGGCGTAATTGTACAATTCGACATTTGTCTGCGTTGAGTGGTAGGGCGTTTTGAACTGACCAGTTCAGCACTGTTAAGATCACACTGGAACCGTTCATGGTCTTCCGGCCCTCTGATTCTTCGCCATATCTTGATATCATCAGCGAAAATTAGGAAATCGGATGGAACTGATCGCGCCAAATTGGTAATGAACACCAAGAATAGACGAGGTCCAAGAACCGAGCCTTGTGGTACTCCACAGGTCACATCGATTGCAAGAGAAAATGATTATCGGATTCTCACCACTAGCTGGCGTTCTTGTAGAAAATTGCTAATGCAACTCAGGAGTGGGTCGCCCATGCCGTAGTCCTGAATCTTCTGAAGAAGAATTCTATGGTCTAAACGATCAAACGCTTTTGAAAAGTCCAGGTAGATGACATCGAGACCTACTTCATCATCAACAGCTTCAGTCCCGCTATTAAGTGCAATTAATATTACACGAAAGCTTTTGACAAAAGTCATGTTGCTCTGGAGCTATTATGTTGTGGCTTTCCAGCTACTGCATCAGCGCATCTGCGATGATTGATTCCACCACTTTGGTTAGTAGGGGAAGTAGTGTTACTGGACGGTAATTGGCAGGATCAGTGCGGCTACCTCCTTTGTGGATAGGAGTGGTGACTTCTCGCTTCCATATTGGTGGAATACGGTTTTCCTCTAGACATCGCCGATAGAAAACAGCCAGTGGTTTCGCTAGATCACTAGCTATCGCCTGTAGAGCCTTTGGTCGGATGTTATCAGCTCCGGGAGAACTGTGGATACGCAAGGATAACAACTTCTTCAACACAGCTTCCGTATTGAAGGCGGTGTTTTCTAAACCAGATGGTGGGGTAGTAGAAATGAGGAGAATGTTTGGGCTCGTTACCTGCTGGAAAGTATGGGAGTAATGAAGCCGTAGGAGATCAGCTGCTTCCATTGCTGACCGCGTGCACCCATCAGCCGTGACTAACGCTGGAACCCCTCGCTTCACCTTTCGAAGGCCGTTAACGTGCCTGTACAGGAGTTTGCGGTTAGTGCAGAATCGCTTCATTAACTTCTGCTGATG